TGCAGTCCAATTAACTGATTCAATCCAATTAAGCTATCTGAAGTTATCTCTGTAATGTGGTGGCTTTGTTATTCAACTCCATTCCCTCCTACCCTTGCAAAAATTTTTGCCTCCAGCTCCTCCCTCCAGATTTTGGCGGTAGATTTCCACTTGGTTCTTGGCAGCTTGATCAAAGCTTGTGATCCGGGCTGCAGATTCTGCAGATTTCCTGCAAGGACCAGCTCCTCCAGCTGCCTCCTTTCCTTGATTAGCCAAGTCTGCCCACAGCTCTTCTTCCTCACCAGAAGACTTGCAATTACTGTGTCTGCCTTTGGCAGCTTGGCAAGAAGGTCAGCAATGCTTTATGTCCTCATGAGACTTCACACTTGTACCTGAGTCTGGAGAAGTATCACTATCCTCTGCCTTGTCTGGCTCACTGAAAACTGCCCACAGAGACGTGTTTTCCATACTTTCTTTGGCTTTCTGCAGTCAAAGTCTGAAATCTGAAATTCTGTCACCTCCTCAAAGTGCCTTTTTCCCTTTCATTCTGCCTGCTGGTACTGTAGATTAAGTAGTGCAAATGAGGACAAACCTTTCTGAAGAAAGAATGGGTGATGCTTTAACCTGGAAAGAATTGCCTCAGGTTTCTTGGTTTTATCTAGCAGAGTACCTTACACCTGTAAGAAAACCCTTCCTGGCAGGTCCCCTTGCCCCCCATGCTGGCTGCTCCCAGCAGAGGATTTCAGACAAAAACCAATTTGCTTCCCTAGGAGTTTCCATTCCCAAGCATTCCTGTTTACCTTTTTGATTCCTGTTGAGGAAGAGGTCAAGATGAAAAGCCTGTCACACCAAAGCATCACTTCCTGGACACGATGGATCCTCTCCCAACTACCTAGCCTTGCTTTTCATCTTCTCTCAGCCAGCTGTGTCTGTGTTCAGGGCCATGCAGTAGAAAATAGCATTAAGGAGATGGATATACCTGGTCAGGAGTCTTAGGTTCAGTAAGAAACTTCAAAGAGCAAATTCTATCCCCTAAGTGATCCCACCTGAGACCAAGCCTACACAACACTCTCCAAAAGAGTTATCAACTTCCTCTTCCCTAAAGATTACTCTGAAATCATCAGTATAAAATCTGGAACTGCTCCCCACACTGTTGGGAAAGACGGGGGTCTCAGTTCAGAGGAGAAATCTCTGTCAGGTTTCCAAACATGGTCTCCGTTTTCAGAACTGCCCCAAATGACAGGATGAGGTGGGATAACTTTATTGACAGGAAACAGCCTGGCAGGCAGAGAGGGCTGATCTTCTTAATGGTGTCTTCAAATCGCCTTAATATAAATCCCCATAGAATAGTCTTACTGGCTGTAATAGGTATGAAAGCAATAGTGCTGCAAAGAAACCAGCAGTGCTTGAGAAGCTGCATTAAAGGTGTTTAACTAGTAATAAAAAATGGTCATTTTGCTATAGAATTTGAGGAATCCTTAAGAATTTAAGAGAATTATCTTCCTCTTAAGGAATTTGAAATGTCAATTAAAAATGTTTCAGAAAGGTTATTATTCTCTGTTAAGCCCTAATGGGTTTCTTAGGCTGGGCTATAAATGATCTGCCTTGTTCCTAGGAGTAAGCCAGTTCAGGGTCCTGTCTCTCTCAGCCTCATAGCTTGAGTGCTTCATTCTGGAAGCATGAATATCATAATATCAATTTTGATTATCATCAGGCTTTGCTGTCATTTTTTGTAGCCATCTGTTATTTGGCCTAAAACATAAAATGGTGAAAATCCCATTTCTTTATTAACCTGCTTGCTCACAACTACCAGTTTTCAGAGCATTTGCACCTTCAAAAAGTTAACATGCTGCTACTTAGTTGGGCAACTGGTGAAAGCAGAACTAAAGAACTCATTTGTTGATAGCATCTCGCTCTGAAATTGTACTCCTTAGCAAAACCTTATTTACAACTCTATGTTAATCAGCACTTTTTTTCCCCCTCCTTAATTCCTAGTAAATATTTTCAAAATCTTTTGGCCAGTCATTAAGCCAAGAAATTAAATTTTCAAATTGCTTAAGTTACAAAAAAGCATTTTACAGTTTGAGGAGCATTGAGCAGTTCCTTAAAGCAGGAACAGCTGTCTGGGCTTTGTCTTGACAGCTGCTCTTCACCTAAAAAGAAGTAGCCTATTTGTGTTTACTTATTCATTAATATTGAAAAATAACAGAATAGGATCAGATGTCTTGGCTGGCAAATGCCCTCCTTTTTCTCTGTGTTAGCACCTCTGCCTCAACATTGATGATACATGTATGTTTTGTGTTTTAAAAATCCTCGTGGTTCACTTTATTATTACACCATTGACATAATTTAGCTTTCCAGATAAAATAATTAAGAGTCCAGGCAGGGAAGGTACCAGTTTAACTGGAGCACAGCAGCAGTCCAATTAGTTTTCCAAATGCATTCTTAAAGTAAATGTTTTTCAGAACTGATCTGGATGAGGATAAATCCTCTAGTCTAAAGCTCATATTCAAGGTCACCTGGGATCTCTGTGAAATCCCATATTCCTCCTTTATACCAAGCCCTGATTGGAAAGGAAGATGCTTAATTTTTTAAAAAATAACCTTGTGAAATGAGGCTTTACTTGTAGTGTAAAGATGCATGCATTGTTTCAGATATCTGCATTTTTAAATTAAACTCTCCAAGTTTGTCCCAAGTTGGGGGCTATTTTTCACCACCCTCTTTCCAAACAGTGAGGTCAGACAAGGTGTCCTTCTGATGCTGTGGACAGCACACATGGCTTGCTCAAGGGGAAGGGGCTAGGGGAACCTTGATGAAAGCTCATTAGGTATTTGAGTGCCTTTTATTTATTTGCAAGCTGGCTATCAGCCAAAAATGAAAACTCACACCACTGTGGAGTTACAGCATAGCCCTGAAATGTCATCAGCAAACACTTCAGGGGAAACAGAGATGTTTCAGAAATGAAGGTTGGACCATGTTTTTCATTTCTGTGTTGCCATTTGGAATTCTGTGGATAGAAGGGTTTTTTTCCTCTGACAGGACAGGAATGATGGAGCTGTTCATAGGCTGGAGCAGCACTGAATTTGGAAACTCAAATCCTCCCCAGGGTACAGCAACGCCTGTCCTCATGAGATTTGGAGTGGAAGGGCACAGGGCTGTGAAATTAATACCAGAGAAGTTGTCCTGACCCTGGCTTATTTGCAATCAAAGCCCACCCTGAGATGTTCTGTGAGCATTCAGCATGGTGGTGATAAGGGCAGCAATTGATTGGCACCGAGAGATCCATTTTGTTCCATTGGGTTCTGCTTGATATCTTAGGGAATTCTCCTTGAAAATGTCATTTCATTGTCACTTGGGGATTTAAATGCTATACTAGGTGGTGCTTTACGAAAAGGAATGTCACCAACGGGCCTTGAGAAGTGTGCTAGAATAAAGAAATGGGGAAATAATGGGAGAAAATCTGGGAGAACCACTCCCTCCAATCAAAAAGAAAGAGGCAGATGAAATCAGACCCATTATATGTAAACAAAAGTTGTAAAAGTGCTGGTAGAGTTCCCTAGATCAGTTAAAAGCAGTAAAATTATAGAAATATTTTGAGAAAATATTCAGCATTTGGTACGTCTGTGGCTCACAAGTTGAATATGATTTGGTTTAGCTGTGTCTGGAAGGAAGCCCTGGTAGCAGAGGCTATTCAAAAGGAACCCCCCAAAACTCAAATGACAACCTGGAGGGTTCCTTGGGAGGTGTTCTCCTGTGCTTTGTGCCCAAACTGGCTGGTTTGGCAGCATTGAGGAAGGAGACGGGGTAGAATTACCATGGATTTACAAGCAAGTAGAGAAGATGTAAGATCCTCAGACTATGGTAAGAAAAAGTAGCTTGTCCCACTCTCTGAAAATTCCCAGGTCTTAGCTAGTGCTGTTGATGGAAGCAAAAGGATAATTTCAGCAAAAGTTCTTGGTGAGTTGTTAATTCTGTGCCTAAATCAGGATTAGTCTGAAAAGGTCACTGTCATGAGAAAAAACCAACAATTATTATAGAAATATTCATTGGCATTATTTCAGTGTTTTAGAGTATTCAGCAACACCTGCATGTAGTGCCAGAGCTGCAGTTGATTCTGTGGGAAACTTTTAAACTTTTAAGTAGTTCAAAAGAAGGGAATCCATATTTGGGCTCGGTTTGAGTGCCAGCCCGGGAGGGAGTAGCTCGCAGCTTTATTGCAATCACAGGCTGTAATGGTGCTAAGTCATAACTCCTTAGGTGTTACCTTGTATATCACATGCTAATCCGTCTGACACAGTTTTCAAAGGAAATCTATTTCAACATAACCTGCCAGCCGCCTCGTGAAGCAGCGCTTCCAAAATTGCACAAAAGAGCGCGAACCCAAAGGTTGTGATGACGCGACTTTTTAATTCACTCATTGTGACGCTGCAGGAAAAATTACATAAGCCACTGATGACTTTTAAAGCGCTTTAGAAAACGAACATTAAAATTAACCCGGAGCGGAAAAAAACCCCTTCCCTGTTCCCTGTGACGCTCCCCCTGCGGGGCTCGGTGCGATGGCCACAAACGCCGCTAAACGCGGTGGGGACGGGATGCGCCGCGCTGGGAGGGGGCAGAGTGTCACCGGCCTGTCACCGCGGGTGGCAGGGTCGTGATGCGGGGCTGTGTTCGCGGCGATGCTGCGGGGCTGGGCTGTGTTTCGGCGCTATGTTTGCAGTGCTGTGCTGTGTTGCGGGGCTGTATTTGCGGTGCTGTTCGGGGCTGTGTGTGGGGGCTGTGCCGTGTTTGCGGTGCTGGTCGGGGCTGTGTGTGCGGGCTGTGCCAAGTGAGCGGGAGCGGGATCGGGGTCGGGAATGGGATCGGGATCGGGATCGGGATCAGGAATGGGAACAGCATGGCCCTGGCCAAGTGAGCGGGAGCGGAGTCGGGAATGGGATCGGGAACGGGGTCGGGAATGGGAACGGCATGGCCCTGGCCAAGTGAGCGGGAGCGGGGTCGGGGTCGGGAATGGGATAGTGTGCGGGCTGTGCCGTGTTTGCGGTGCTGTTCGGGGCTGTGTGTGCGGGGCGGACCCACAGTGCCGGGGCGGCGCGAGGCAGGTGCGGGGCGGGGGCGCGCGCCGCGTGCGTGAAGTCACCTCTACCGTCACGGCGGGCACCGCCCCCTCGCGCGCTTCCCGCGCGGCCCTTTCTGCCTTAAAAGGACAATGGGGCGCGCGCAGCCGGTGGGGCCCGATTGATGAGAACGGAGCCGTGGGAACGGCGCCTGCGCAGAGCGGCCGAGGGGCGGGGCGGCCGCGGGCTCGCGCGCCCTCCCGCGCCGGCGGCAGAGCACGGGGAGCCGGAGCGCGCGCAGCGGCGGGAGCGCCGCGCACCGCACGGGTGTTGTGGGCGAGTGGCGGTGAGTGATGCCTTGCCTTCCTCCCGGCCGGGCTCCAGCTGAGTTCTGTGGCTGCTTGTTGTTTCGTGTTGTTCGGGGTTTTGTTTTGTTTTGTTTGTTTTGTGTTGTTCGCTCTTGGTGGGTTTCCTCTTTTTTTTTTCTTTTTGGTGGTGTTGGGATTTATTTTTTTTCCAGCAGCCGGTGGTTTCTGTTCATTCCAACTTACTCCCCGGAGCTTGTCCGCAGTTTTGCAGCGGCAAAAATACTTTGCCGCCTTGAAACGCTTTGACACGCGTGTGGCTTCTGCGAGCGGCGTTTCGCCCGGTTTTTTCTTCGATTAGTAGAGTTTTAAAGGATGCGCGAGCGGAGAGGAACGCCTCCCGCATTGTTGCGGAGCCATCCCTAGAACTCTGACTTCTGCCCCCCCCCCCGCCATCCCAAAGTACGATTAAATCTCCCAAGTCTTTAGGAGGAAAGAGTAGCCAGTTCCCCATGATTTAAATCCGAAAGCAGTTATAAGGTGCGGAGCGGGTTTGGAAAACCGGGCTGCTTGGCGATGACGGGCTGCAGGGCGCCTTTCCCGGGCCGCGGCTGCCCTGGCTCGCCACGCGGGTGGCGTGGCCCCGCGGGTGCGGAGCGGGTGCCGCAGGTGCGGCCCCGGCGCGCCCCGCAGCGCACACCTGTAGCGCCCGCGCACAACTTGGTGCCAGCGGCGTGCGGAGGGGAGGGGGACCCGCTGGTGCCCGCCATCCCTCTCTCCCCGTGTTTCACGTGGGGAGAGCGGGGCAGTTCTTATTGTTTCCAGTTATCATTCGTGATTGCGGGGGAGTCCGAGTCCGTGCACGCTGCAGAGGAGCAAACGTGCGGCCGTGGGCTGGCGGGACACGTGCTGTCGGTCGCACAGGTCGCGGCGTGGGGCCTTCCCCGTCCTGCCCCCCGGCCCGGTGCGCGGCGTTCCCGGCGTGGGGCCGGTGCGGCGGGCGGCGATGGCGTCCTGCCGCTCCGTAGCTCGGTGCCAGTGCAAGCGGCTCCCGTTCCTGCCGGCGTGTGCCCGGCGCCAACAAGTTTTAACTCGGGGCTGCGCGGCGCGGGGCGAGCGGCGTGCCCCCGGCGCGGCACGTAGGCAGCGCCCGGCTGCAGGGAAAACAAAGGGCTCGCATGTGCTGCGGGCGGCGCGGCTCCCCGGCGCGCCGGGGCAAAGCGCTCCTCCGCGCCCGGTGGGGGCTCGGCCCCGGCCTGGCGGGTGTCGGTGGGGTGACACTTGTCGTGCACGGGACGGTGTTTTTTAGGGGCTGCCTGCTGGTTTTGGAGGAGTTTGGAGGGGCGGTGAAACTTTGGATGCACGCGTGCTCCGCACGGCGCTGCGGCGGGCGGGCCCCGGCGGCCGCGCTGGGGCTGCCCCGGGCTCTGGGGTCCGCGTTGCCCCCGTCGCGGCGTGCCCGCGTTGCCGGGAGGTCTGCGACGGGCCTTTGAAGTGAAACTGTTGCCATGTTTGAATTACGTCAGGGCCGAGCCATGAGGAACCGGCGCGGGGCGGGGGGGAAGGACGGGGGGCGGCGGGGCACGGTCGTCGCCACGCCGGAACGGGGGTCCGGGTGCTCGGCGGTGCGGCCGCGGCTCCATCCCCGCTTCCCGCCGCTCCCCCCGCGCCGGATGGGGCGGCTGCTCCGCGACCGCGTGGTGGGGCGGCGTTTGCAGCGCGGGGGCCGCCTCGCAGCGCCCACCTCCGCGCTCGGGGCTTTCCTCCCTGGCGCGCCGCCTTCCCCTTCCTGTGCTCTTCTAATTTATTTCTGATTTTACTCGTCTTTCGGCGAGTTGAGCGCTTGGCAGCCCCGCGCAGGGCGGGAGGGCTGTGCCCACCCGCGTGTGCGCTCCCGCCGCTCCACCTGACTGGCGGGGCCGCCCGCGAAAGTAGGTCGTGTGCCCCGGGGGGGTCTTTGTTCCCGGCGCCGCCGCCCGCCCGGCCCCGGCTCCGGCCGCCGCTCCAGCCGCCGGCGCTAACGGGGGAGCGGGGCCGTGCCCGGCGCCACGCGGTGCCCGGCGGCAGCGGCGCGACCGAGCTCTGCCTTTTTGGGCGTTTTTTACCATTGTTATTTATGGTTTGGTGGTTTTTTGTTTTGTTTTCAAGTCACCGTCTTGCGCCAGGAAAGCGCTCCCCGTTGCGCTCTCACTTTGGCGAGATAAAAGTTGCCGTCTCCTCTCCTACCCCCCTGTCCGGATGCGTGTAGCTGAAGGGATTTAAAGGGACCTGCCAAACCTGTTGTTTACTCGGGCCGTGCCCGCACGCAGCGAACAGGGCTGAATCCCGCCTGCCGAGCCCCCGCAGCGGCGCTTTCCTGGCGGGAACAACCCCGGTTCATCCTACAAAGAGCCTTGTCCCCGACTGATGGCCCGTCCTTCGGACCTAAATTATTCAATTAACATTACAATTGCAAAAATCTTGGGAGCTGCCCCCCGGCGCTGTGTCTGTGTCGGCAGCCGCTGCAGGATGCTGCCCGCTGCCGTGCCCTAAACACGTGTCTGGGCTGGAGGCAGGGCCGTGCCACCGTCCCCTCATGGCTGGGGAGCGGCAGGAGAAGGCCCAGCGTCCTGCACTGAGCCCACAACTGCAGCAGCAGTGGCTGTGCTTGAGCACAGCCTGTGATGCTCTTTTTTACTTTGAGTTTTAATTAGGAAGGTGGCAGGCTGACAGCCGTGCTCACAAGTGTTTCACTCTTTGGACAAGGCAGTAGGTGAGGGTGATGGTTCCTCAGCAAGCTCCTTTACTGCTGCGTGCTTGCTTCCAAAGCTGAGACTGCTCCTGGCAGCCGTGTGCAGGGTGTGTGCACCCCCTTCTCACCAGCCTGCAGGCAGACAGATCCACTGCGTCATTTACAGCTTTTAAAAATTAGAGATTGCACATGCTCTGCACCGTAGGGACAGAGAGTGAACTGGAAACTTTTCTGCTGATACCAGTGGACACTCAGCTCCTTTGATACACAGGTGAGCTCTAGGTTTCTTGGGATCTGTGGTACTTGGTAGAAAAGCAGCGAGTAACAAGTCGGGATTTTCAAACACACCCACAGGCATGCAACATCCAGCTCCCACTGAAAGTAGGTGGGATTGAGTGCCAGAGCTTCTGGGAAAAATTCCTCCTCGCTTCATTCTCTAAAAGAAGCTAATTGCTGATGTATTCGGTCTTCCTTTAAGAAGAAAATATCAGTGACTTCTTTGCAGAAGATGTTAAAAAAGCTGATGAATTCACGGAGGCTAAAAATAAAGTTAAAACTGACGGTTTGTTGTCTCACTCATGCTGAACAGCTCTTTCTGTGTTCCCTGCTTTGCATTGATTCTTAACACCTCATTTCTTGTACCTCTCTCATAATGACATGAACGACATCCACAGGGTCCTACTTGACAATCAGCTTCATTCTTGCACCCCCTGTAGTGCTTGCTTTTTAACACAAAAAAAAAAAAAAAGCCACTGAGCTGGGACTTGAAAATTGCCCAGGCAGGGCTCCATTTCACAACTCAAGCCTTTGCATTTCTGTAGAATGTGCTCAGTCCAAAGTCCAAGTGAAATGACCAATAATACTGCTTAGGGACATGGAAAAGTATCCTTTTTAATGAAGTTACTTCAGTTGTTCTGCCAAATAATTACTGCTCCTTCTGTTTAAGTCCCCATCCAGGTATGTTATCCTCTTTAAAAACAACATAAAAGAACCTAGCCAAAAAACACAAATCAAAACTGTTCAGTGTCTCACGATCCAGAGTGGCTGTGGTGTTTTCAGTAGCAGGTGCTCGCAGACAGCATCATAACAGCTGTGATGACTGCACTCAGATAAGCATCACAGACTGAGCTCCAGCACATGTTTCAGAACATCCCAGTTTTCCTTGCTGGGCTCGTGCTCAGGCTGAGTGTGGTGTTAGTTATGCAACAGGAGTTTCAGGCAGGGAGAAGTCATCTTTCAAGATGGAATGTCTGCAGGTGGGACAGGTTTGGAGTTTTTTTTCCCCTTATGCAAATCTTGCTGATTATTGTTTTCATGCTTTGGCCTATCCCTTCTGGAGCACAAACTACACAGCAGTTCAGAGGAACACCCACGTGGCTAAGCTCAAATGAGTTAGGAACTTCCTTCCCAGGGAAGATTCAACAGGTGAATACACTTTATGACTTGACTGCTTCTGCAAATGTAACTAGGAACAGCTTGTGATCCAGCTAGGATGCCATGGGGACTTGAACATGGGAAAGAAGTGTCCAATTTGATTTTTGATGCATGCTTAGTAGTTGCTGCTAGGTGCACTGACTGTGCTGAGATTTTGCTTGAGCACTAAGCACACAACTTAGTGCTGTGGATATCTACCAGCAAAAGAGTGACTTATTCTGTCAGATGAAAGATTCCTGAACATGTGGTTTTGACCTTTTCTGGTTTTGCTGAACTCATCAAGTGAAAGCATGCTGTGACATTCAGATGTTCCTGGTAAATACAGCTTTCCTCCAAGTAAAGTTCTTTTGGGTGGAGATGAAGGAAAGTGCAAGGAAAATCTGAGGCTATAGGGGACCAGAAGAGTGTACAATATGCACAATTTCAAGGTTATGGTTGTTGGTTATTAGTACCTGTTTTAAACTATAGGGAGAGATGACAGTAAAAAATATTTCTGCAGATACTGAAGCTGCATTTTCAGATGACTTCCATTAGATTGGTCTCTTACCATCCTGCTAAAATATTCTTTTTTTTTTTTTTTTTTGAGGGATCTCTTCCAGGGGTTTTTTGCAGCAGCCTGTGAACTCAGGGGAGGTATGTTTATGTTGAGTCTCTGATACAGATCAGTTCCTCTGTTGATATACAGTTCTCTGTCTTACAGTTGATTTGCAGTTAGAGGTATTGCAGTTTATTTCAGCAGAGGGACAGGCTCAAGAATTTATTGAGGTGAGCAACTCTGCTTCTGGCGCCGTAGACAGCTCTGGAAGCATTTTTCATGTGTGTACATATGCCTGGGTGTATGCTCTTGCAGATGTAAAAGCCAGAGCACCTATGTTCTTTCTATATTAAGGCATCTGTTTAGTTCCCTTTAAAAGAGAAGAGAATTAAAAAAGAGTGTAATTTTGGCTGTGTTTCTTAGTTCCAATGAAATGCTGTAGGAATGACAATTGTGAGATTTTTACTGACAGGAACCGGCTGCATCAACATATGTAGGGTAGATGGTATTTTTCTTTAGCCCAGCTTCAGGGAGGCTGTGCCAAGGCTGTTGTGCATACAGAAAGGGAAATCAAATCGTTGTTCTCTCTGGCAAAGGTACTGGCGCTTCTGGGTTGCACAAAGGGTGAACGATCCCAGGTCAGAGAGGGGAGATGGGAAGAGAGGAGGATACTAAGTATGTGGACTGGCATGCCTCTGCTCTCTTGTAACTCCAGGGAATGTTTCTCTTTCAGCTTTGCAAGAAGCAGGTGAACATGTTCGTTCCCATGTTCGTAGCCTGGTAATTGTGCTACAAAGGGAGACATGCCTGTCTTCTAGGAATTCCGTCCTTTCTATTACAAAAGGTTTTCATTCTTCTTGAGTGATCAGAAAGAATGCAGAAGGAATCTGGAAAAGCAAATGAAAGTGGCTCAGCTTACTTTAAGATCTGAAAGAGTTCAGAAGTTCTTCCCGAACTTGAAAACTTAATGAGCATATGAAGCAATGCCTCCTTTTAATTTAGATCATCAAATTAAATTTTGCAAAGAAAATTAGACATCAAATTCTAGTCCTGACAGGTAACAAAAACATGAAACCATTTTCACACACATGCTTCTTTGTACCAGCCTTTCACAAAGGTAATAAGCAGGGTGTGGGGATTTTTTTTTCTTTTCCTTTTTTTTTATTTCCCACTGCTTTACTGTTCTCTTTTGCAAGACAAGTTTCTATTTTTCATGCTGCTTTTTCAGAAGTAAGAGAGCAGAAGAATGGAGAGAGCTCTTTCCTGGAGACTTTTCTGAGTCCATTCAGGTTGCTAAAGCAGTTTAAAAAGCAGAACTTGAGGAAATAGCAACTTCTGCAAGGAAAAGGTGTGGAGAGGGACACCAGGGAGGGAAGAGGATCACTTTTCCCCTGACTTGGGGGAATACTGCTTTCCCACTAGTGCAGATAAATCTTCATGTCTGCAGAATGACGGATAACGCTCTGCTAAGTTTTCTGATTCTTTTTTGGAGATCTGTCCCTTTCACTTCTGTGCAACTGCTGATATATTTTAATAACGTGCTTAAATTTGGCAAATAATAACAAAGTTAAATAGCATTAATAACATGCTTAGATTTGGCAGAATTATGTTGTGTAATGCTTTTTAACTCCTAGGCAAGTTACTTAGTTTTTACTTGCCATCTTTTTTATCTGTCCCAAATTTCACATGGTTAAAGTTCCACAGCTAAGATTCAGGTGTTAGGGCAGCTGGCATCCTAACTCCCTGGTTCTAATTAGAGATCTAAATTGCAAAGCTTTCAAGTTAAACCTTTTAAATGGCACAGTCATATTTACTTCTAAGTCCATAGTCCATATTAGCTATTAAGCTCTCCAGCTGACAGAATATTTAGTGTATAATGGTCAAATGGCAACTGTTTAGGATTAAATGTGTAACTGGACTGATGTCTTCCATTTATAACTGCACTTGGATGCAGTTGTCAGAGAAATCTGTTTAACTTGTGGTTTTGCTACTAGCTCTTCCCCATTCAGGCATGATGTGTGGTAATACCATTGCTGACCATTCATCAAGTGGGAAACAGATGGCACTAGTTTCCCTTCTATTGAAGGATGGTGTTGAAAGGCTGCTCCTGTGAGAATGGCAGCAATGATGCAAACCAAAATATTTTCAGAATATATGTGTTTTCCAGGCTTTTCCAGAACATTGATTGTAAAACATGCATCTTATTCTACTGTGGTGTAAATACCAGCTGGTGACAGAGATCATCTTATCACTGTCTGGACTCCTGGAAGAAACTTGGTTAGAAAGTAAACTGCATTGTTGACAGTTGTTCCTTGCCACGTAGCAGTCAAGATTTTCTTGCCTTAAGTTTGGCAGCACGGGTGAACTTTGTGTCTGCAATTAGTCTTTGACTTTCTAAAGAAAAGTACCAGGCCACAGATTTAACATTGGAGTAGTCAAACAACATCTAAAATTGCTGTTTGGAAGTTGAAAATTCCCAGGTGAGCATGCTGTTGGATCTCCAGAGGCTTGTTGAACAATGTCCTCAAGAGTATCTCCTGAAGAAGCACATCAGGTGCTAAGAAACTAAATACTCACAGTGTTTGCCTAGATACTCTGTTGTTTATTTTCTTGACAAGCCAGAAATATTTACCCGATTTGGCTGTGCATTCATTTGCTGCACATCCAGCAGAGGCTGAGAGTAGTTCTGAGACTACCATCCCTCCATGAGCCCATTCAGCAGGTCACTAATTGGATGCCTTCTTTTACTTGCTAGATCTGCTCCTGGCCTTCTGGCCAATGCTGTACTAATAGGGAGTAGTGAATCTCCTAAAAAGCTGACACCATTTGGGGTGACTTTGCTGGACATTTGCACAAGACAGCCTTGGGAGAACATAGCCCTAGGTGAGCTCCTTGTGCTGTCAATGTGAAGAAGGGAATTCAGCACTTCAAGCCTGTGGAAGACAGCATGACCTGGGATGGGAGGGAAGGAAGGACTTATCCTTTCCATCTCTCTCCTAGGCCTGGAGGATCTCCTTGGCATTCAGCTTGAGCAAGTGCCTTGCCATCAACAGGCTCTACAAGTCAAGACAAGCTTTATGGAGAATTGAGTCTTCTTAAATGTTGGTGCAGTAGTAATTCTGAAGAGCCACAACCTCAGGGAGCCCCAAGTGGTCTCATACGTGCTAGACTGAAATGCAGACATGCCCACTTTCAGCTGGAAACAGGTTCCTTGATGGATTTTTTGTCAGAGTATTAACCAACAGTATTGGATACAATTTTTACTTTTCTCTTGTTCTTGGGAGTCTGGGAAACTGCATGTTTATCTTGCTGTGCTCCTGTACTCTTGATCTTCCCGGGGTGGGGAGATGCATTTTCACCTCTACATAGGACTGTGCCTGGGCTTGGGTGGTTCCCTAGCTTTTGCTGTGGTCCTGCAGAAGTGTATGGGATCTTTTCCTGTTGCACCCCATCCCCCTGTCAGTCAGGTGAGTGTAATGCTGGGTACGGTCATTTCGTGGAAGCATGTTTCTGGCCTCACCTGAACCTGTCTTTCAAAATATTTTATTGCCATAATGATGTGGCAAGTCCTGGCAGTGTAGACATAAGATTTCAGATGATTTTTCTCTGTACCACTGGAAGGTAAAAGGATTACAGCACTTACCTCTCTGAAGGTGGAGGATTTGGGGACAGATGCCTATGCCACAGACATTAACCAGTAACCTGAGTTGGGTTAATGGGACTTGGTAGTACCTGGGACTGAGAAGTGACTGAGAGTTCCCCCTCACCACAGTTGCTCCTCTCTTGAAAGTCCTTCCTGAGCTGCAGGGTCATTCAGTAGGTTTTTTTGTTATCTTCTTAATAAATTCAGCAGCTTGGCCTTTGCTAAGGAAAGAGAGGGAAATGTTGTGTTTTTTGCATGGCTCCATCCAATTTTAATTTTTTTTTAAAGCTGTGGGAACCTATTCTCCTGGAGCTTCCTGCAGCCTGTCCCTTCTCTGAGCCCTTGGTGTGTGGTGAGCAGCAGAGGTGGCTGCTCGCTCCTTGCAGCAGGTGCTGGAGGCAAACCTTGCACCAGGGTCTGTTCAAAAGAGAACATCTTGGAACAGTCCCTGCCTGCCTTATGAGACTGATGCTGTGTGGCCTGTGAGGACTTGCTGTGTGTCCAGGCCCAGTGCCAGGAGAGCAGCAGCTTTGCTCGGTTGTTGGTTTGGGTTTCTGAAGCGCTGTGGGAACCCTGTTTGCTCTGACAGTGCTTCGTGCTGTGCCTGACAGGGGTCTGCACTGGGGAATGACCAGATTAGGGGAGAACTGGTTGGTGAGGGATCATGGTGACTGCAGTGACTAACTTGAGAAGTTTCTGCCTGGAAAATGGCTCCACTATATGATACCAGTTCTGATAGCAAATCCCAGCCTTGGTGTACTGAAAAGAATAGGATCAGGAGCAGGAGGGCATTCTTGGCTTTTTCAGCTGGTGCCAAGTTTGCAGAGCTGGTGGTTACAAAGCAACAACTTCCCTGTAACTGGAGTTCCGTCCTTTTGGCAGGGCGTGTGTGGTAGGCACATGCTGAGATGTGCCCATGGGTCTTGCTCCTTGGCCCTTTCTTTCCTAGTTAGGTTTCCTTCCCATGGAAAGCAGGGTGGGGAAGGCAGGAGGCTGAGAACAGAGCATGTGCTGACATGGAGCTGGGATGCTCACCCAGGCCCTGAGAAGAGAGAAGTGCAGGGTCCTGCAGTGCAGAGAGGGCCATTGAGGGCTGGGTGAGACTCCACCCTGCTGTTTTTAGAGCAGCTTTTCAGGTATGTCTGCCCTACAGCCCGGGGGTATGACTGCAGCTCATTTAAAATGACTCCTACTCACTCTCAGCAGAGTTTGCCAGGGGTGTTTCCAACCAGCACGGGTGGTGGTGATGAAGTAGTTCAGTGACCCAGAGTTCAGCTGCCAGCTCCCTATCCATGGGCTTGGACACATGGCCTGTCCTGCAGCCAGCTTTGCCACATGCACGGGAATTTCATAGGCCAGGTTGGCTGCATTCACACATCTGGGTTGTGCTGCCTGTAGATGTGCCCTTGGAGTAGATTTCTGCAGTAAATGAGCTTGTTGTGGGTCCTGCTGGGTATTGCTTAATATTCCAGCTGTTAATTATATAATTTTTTTTAACAACTGCATTCTAGGTGCATCTGTTCTTCTGAGGCAACGTGGGATAAAAAACTATGCCCTAATCTAGCAGTTTTTCTTCCATTATCTAACAGTGATAATTAACACCAGTTTCTGTTTGTTTTCACAGGATACAGCTGGGAGGAAAAGATGTTTGGCTTTCACAAACCGAAGATGTACCGGAGTATAGAGGGCTGCTGTATTTGCAGAGCTAAGTCTTCCAGTTCTCGTTTTACTGACAGCAAACGTTATGAAAAGGATTTCCAGAATTGTTTTGGGTAAGATTCCCACCTTGGTCAGCAGTTTTGGCATTGATCTCTAAGCTGCAAACCTGATGTACTGTCCTTCTTGCTCTGAAAGCCTGAGAGATTAGGTTAGCAGAGGGGAGTGGTGGGAGAAGGCTGCCTTCAGCTTCCTCACAGCGTTCCTGGGCAGACCAGGAGGGGCCAGATCCTCTGCTGCTGTGTATGGTACCATTTAATTTTCAGTCTGTTGTCACTGCCAAGGGAGAGCTGGTAATTCATAACACCAAAGGATCAGGCTTGTGTCTCTCCCACCTCACAGCACATGCAGGGATTTTAGGCATCTCTCAGACTGTGCATTTTTTGCTGGTTCCATAGAGGTGTAAACACCTACATAAAATAATGAATTCCACACATCCATGGGGGCTTTCTGTGGCTCTGAAAATTCAAGAATGTTAGATAAAACTTGATGAGTAAATATTTAGCAGTTTCAGCCGGGTTTTTGCAGAGAATCCTGTTACAAATATTGGTGTCTTTGTTCAAATAGGACATAGCAATGTGTTATTAAAATTTCTCATTGGAAAACCATTCTCTTGGAAAGTGATTAGCTTTCCAGTTAGGCAATGTTACTTGAAAGCATTGGTAAATAAAACTAAATACTAGAGATTTCTTGTACCAGTTACTGTGATCTTTCAATTTTTTTTGAATACTTTTGAAGAGCTTTGAAATTTTGTATAAAATTCACAAATTTTCCCCACTTTTTCTAGAAACGCTCTTTTCATGTAGTGAACTTTAGAGTGCTTTGTATTTACCTTGGATTTTTGTACACAAGTCTGGTGCTGGCAGTTTTCCTTATCATGTTTCTTCACTACTGTCCTTGGCCGTCAAAGCCTGTGTGCAGATCCATTGCTTTTTTTTTTGGTGGTTGTTGTTTTTAACTGCAGTGAAGCAGTTTGCAGTTTACCAGGACCATTGTTGTTGTGCTATCTGAAATATGTTTGCCAAGGTAAAAATGCAGCCTGACCACTGGGCAGATAATGGTTTTCTGAGCCTGCCTCATTAATCTATAATGATCCAAAGTCTTCCTATTTAATTAGCTGAAAAATTTTGCAGTGTTTCCCTGTTGTATTTCTTTTAGCATGGGTTAGCAGTAGAGATGATTCCTGAGGAAAGCTTGTTAGAGGGAGCAATATTGCTGTCATTCCAGTGACTGCTGTTTCTGAAATCTTATCCTGTGCTCGTGTGGGAGTGTGTTAGGTGGTGTTTGTTACTCATCCTTGAAGCTCTGTGGGAAAGTTAAGACCTGAGTAAGCTTTTGATGTTTGTTCCCAAGTGTACGTTTGAATAACATGATTATTCCTCCTGCTCCAAACTAACCAATCCACTTCAATTGTGTCTTGGTTTTGGGGGAAGAGATTCCAAAACCTGCAGGTGATGGGTCTGTTGTTTTCAGTGCCCCTCTGGAGGCAGATTGTGACACCTTTTTATTTCTGTGTGGAAGAGTGCTTTCTGAAAGTGAGACCTGGTCTTTAAATGGCACAGTTGGAGCATCCCAGATGAACTGCAATGTCAGAAAAACAGAATTTCAGAACCCTTCTTATTCATCAATTTTTATACTTCTTGCTGTTACCAAGTGGAGGTGTGCTCTTATTAACTGTTGTTAAGTGATCTTTGCTTTTGTTTTTGCCAGGCTCCATGAGGCTCGCTCAGGAGATATTTGCAATGCCTGTGTTCTTTTGGTGAAAAGATGGAAAAAATTACCAGCAGGATCCAAAAAAAACTGGAATCACGTTAGTAATTTATTTCTCTTCTGCCCCAAAACTAACTATTTCTAGAGAGGAGAGGTGCTTGCAGGGGTTTGGGGTTTGCTCTTTCACCCACACTCTGCTTTCTCACCATCAGCATCTCTAAATCCTTCCTGGAGTATTTACTACTGTGTGGCTCCTACCTGCTTATGTGCAAATGGTGATTATGCAAGCCTGAGATGTAGTCACAGACCAACTTGCCTTGTAATTATTTGTTTTCCAAAGCTCATAACTTTGTCCAAAAGTCTCTTATGACATAAAAAAAATAAAATTCAAGTTTGGCCTTTATCCAAAATTGGTTGGGTTTTATTTTCCCCAAAGTGATTTGCTCAAGCAACACACTAATCAATCTCATTTAATCAGATAATTACAATGACTAATAATCTTGCAGCTATTTTCACTCATATATTCTGTTTTGATATGTCTTAATTCAATTCAGGCCTAAGGCTGGGAGGATGATCAGGATTCCTTGTGTATAATAATCTTTATCCAGCATGCCTTGATAGAATTGGGAGCCGTAACTACCACTAGCTTTACTCAAAAGTTAAATTTATGACTAAACCACCCCCCCCCGCCAAAAAAAACCCAAAACCACAGAGCAAATGCTTGGCAGACACTCTTAACTGGACCAGTATGAGCTTAAACAATTATTTGGTTCTAAACTGAATGTGTTAAAAACGGGAAGTTGGTAAAAGTTGAACCAAATGTGCTTTTTAAACTAGTTTGCTGTGTTTTCCTGCAGACTCAGCCTCTTGCAGAGGCTGAGATTTAGCCAGATTTAAATGAAACATGAGAGTGTCAGTGCACAGAAATGCCTTGGATTAACCAAGGGGGTTTGCAACACCTTCTGCTAAGTCAGTACCTGTGTCTTGACTGGAGCAATACCTGGGCATGATGCGTAAGTATTCAGTCATGCATTTTCTCTGTCCTAGGTGGTAGATGCCAGGGCTGGACCCAGCCTTAAAACAACATTGAAACCAAAGAAAATGAAAACTCTCTCTGGAAGCAGAATAAAGAGCAATCAAATCAGCAAACTGCAAAAGGAATTCAAGCGGCACAGTAAGTGGATCCAAAGAAATTCTGGCAATAAACTTCAGCCTTCCCTAACACAGCTCACTGTTAACTGTCCAAGCTGAGTCACTGTCTAGATTTGGTTGTGCACTCCCACGTTTGGGCTCTCCCTGTTTTCACAGCCTCTTATCCTCTGAGAGTTTTGGGAGGATGTGGAATGAGAAGGAAGAGCTTGTGTGCAGGGTGGGCTTCAAGACAGAGGTGGGGAAGTGGCAAGGGGGCATGAGGAGTCTGGGTTGAAAGTGCAGGCAGTTCTGGCTTATGTCCCACACTTAAATGACATATCCCTGGAAAGAACATCCTGGGCAAAGATACTGAAACTGAAGCTGGAATAGGCTTCTCCCTGCTTTCAGTCATGCGCTATGGCCATTTTCAGCTCTCTTTTCCCAAAAAAACATTGCAGTCTTTTTCTTCCCTATGTATTTTTAAACATAGATTTACCCCACCCTTAAATTCCTACCATGTTTCCTTATACCTTCCTCTGCCAGTCTCAGTGATTTCTTTCCAGTAGTACAAGGACTCTCCAAACAGATTTGGATTCACAGCTTTCCAACAAAACCACCTGCCAGTTATGCTCTAAATGTGTGTCAGTACTTAAGGCTTTCCTTCTAAAGCAAACCTTCCAGCTTCTTAACTGTTGCTGACTTGGTCTCTCTCTCTCTCTTTCAATTATCCTGCCCAGTCAGAAGGAGAAGTCTCCAAAGAATCAGTAAAGGCCCTGACCCAATGAGCTTTTATCTCCTCATTCAAGGCACTGCAGTTAATCTGATTTTGTCACTGTAGCTGCCAGAGATGGCAGCTGAAATGTGGGAGAGCAGACACTGTTGAGGTGTGTCTGCCCTGGGTCTGTAGCTCCTGGTCTTGATCTAGCAAAAGCTCAACACTACCTAGCACATAATGAGAATATATATATATATATATATATATATATATATATATATATTTTTTTTTTTTTTTTTTTTTTTTTTTTCCCAAAGACCTGTTGTGGATTTAGACACAGACTTGTTTTCTGTTTGTGAGCAGTCTTTTTGCCCCTGTTCTCTGGGCTGGAGGCTCAATAAAGTAGTGTCTGGAGTCAGACTTCCTTTTTGCATGTTTGTGAATCCTGTATATTCTAAACAAAGTACTGTCTCCCTGCCATTTCTTCCAGGCAAAAGGTCTGCTGTGGAATTATTTACAAAGGGCGTTTTGGAGAAGTCCTCATAGACACTCATCTCTTCAAACCTTGTTGTAGCAATAAAAAATCTGCCACTGAAAAGCCAGAACAAGAAGGACCCCAATCTCCAGCAATCTCCACCCAAGAGGAGTGGTGACTTCCTTGGATAGCTGCAGAAGGTTATACAGATCCTCTTATTCTCTGGAAAAATACTAGCAAAGTGACTGTTCACTTTGGACACCTGCTATGCTGCCAAAAGACTATTCCCTAGAACTGTTTTGGGTTTTACTGCTATGATTCCACAAACTCTGAAGCCAGTTTGTATCCTTTCAAAAAGACTGTACATAATATTTAAGATGCTATGGAACACTTGGCAAAGCTGAATGCTGCTGCAAGGTTGTCTAATTTTCCCCCACACTCACTTCCCAAGTGAATATGAAGATGGGGTTTGTATATTAAAGTATATTAGTTCATGTTTCTGTACTGAAAGAAGCAGTGGTTGTAAGGCTTTTTTGGATTTTTTTTTCTTTCTTTAAAAGTTGGTTGGCAAACTTCCTAAATTCCCAAGAAAATAATTCATTCTTAGACATGTATGAGTCAATGAAATGAACTAATACATAGAAATGTTATAAGTCACCTCTCTAGTTATATAAATATATATTTTTAAAGGTGTGGCGATTTCACCCTATACTACTGACATAACAAAGACAAATATTTCATTCCTCCCGTGTGACACAGACTGGTAATCTGCAGACATCTCTACTTCAAGTGGTAGCTATCTGAGAAGGCCCCCAGCATAAAAGTGCTCTTGAGAAGGGGTGGGAGAGCTCTCCACCTTAACTAAGGATTAAGATTTACCTAAGAACTGAACATAGCAAAATGAGAAGTTACTTTTTTTTTAAGCCAGCAGTAGGCACCCTGGGCTTGGTGTAGTAACCCCTGGTGGTTAGAGATGGACCAAGAAACACCTTGATGCCCAAGTCAGGCGTAGATGGCAGCCAAAAGTGAGTAACTGCTCTCTGTAGGCCCAGTGCAGCTGAAATGTGACCGCAAACAAGACTCCTCCTAGTTTTGGACCTGACAAAGAACCAAAGCCCTTGCTAAGCAAGTTAGGCTCTGGTTCAGGGACATAATCTGGTTGCAGCCTGGGGTCTGGATTCACAATAACTGTTTTGAAACCCTTCCCCTGCAGTGTTTCTCTGTGTTTGGGTTTAGTTGTTTTTTGGTTTTTTTTCTGTTTGTTTGTTTAAGCAGCTGCCAGGTCAACACTTTTGTGAATACTGCATCTGAAAAGTTCTGCTAAGAATGGTGCCGTGCTGAATCAAGGCAGCAGCTCTGTTTGCATATGTGATCAAAAGATAATACTTTCTACACAGATTCCCAGACAAGCTCATGTGCAAATCATTGTGACACTCCTTCAAACTCTGCTTTGCCTCTAGAGTGGAAGCAGCTTCCTGGAAGATTGTGCTGCAGTTTTAGCTCCCAGTTGCTTCACGTTCCTTTTATGAAGGTTTTACTTGTGTGAGTTGGGAATTCTGCTTTTTGTTTGGTTGGTTTTTTCCTGGTTTTAGGGGGAGGGAGGATTTTTTTTTTTTTTACTATTACTCTTTTGGGATATCCTACAATGGATTGCTACATGGTGTGATTCTTGTGGTGTCCTGTGTAGGGCCAGGAGTTGGAGTTGGTCCTGATGGGTCCCTCAACTCAGCATATTCTATGATTCTAAGCTTTCCTTTTTTGTGAGTCATTGGCATAATACTGTGGTGGGTAGGGTTTAGGACTGGATTTCCATGTAGTCTCGGTTCCTGAAATGGGAATACTTAGCAAATTAAAATATAGATAGGGAAAGATATGCAGGTTTTAAGAGGAGCCTCTACCCTCAAAGCTTTTTTTTTCTTTCTTTTTTCCTCTCCTGTTGGGTCAGCCAATCTCTGGAGAGAAAGAAAATCAGGGGAAACAGGGCTTTGACTTATCACAGCCTTACAGCTTAGAGCTTTCCTTGGACTCATTTTGCTTTTCCTAAACTCTGAGGTTCTTAAGGGAGGACAAAGCTGCTTACCTTGCTTTTATTCTCAACCAAATAGAATCATTCAGGTTGGAAAAGACCTAAGCCCATTGAATCCAGCCATAGATATAATAGATACTTGATTGTATAAAGGCATAACTAGGTTGGGTCATGTCTAATAAGGGCTTGAGCAAGAGTCCTTGCTGTGTTTGCAGACACCTATTTCATGTGAATTTGTGTTTTCAGCATCAGTAATTCTGTACACCTAAGAAGGCTGCAGTGTTGGTGGTAGGATGTGCTCTGATATGGATCATCTCTTCTGTATTTATTTATTTATTGCTAGATTTCAACCGCCAACTGCTTCCCCTACTCCCTCCCACCTCTTCCATTCCCAGTAGTAATGCAAAATGAGTAGTCATGCACTTTGTATTAATGTATTAGAAATCTATGGAACCTGTTTTGTACTTTTATACTGTTCAGACACTTGTAATCCAAACTTTGTTTTTACTAGGGTAACGAATAAATTTAGTCTTATTTAGAAAATAAGCAACTTCTCATGTGTTTATTTCAGCCCTGTTCTTCTGTTAATTAGATTTAGTGTTGGAGCCAGCCCAGGCAACCCATGTTTCTATTTGAACAAGACCAAGCTTTTTTTGAGGGGGTGTGAGGTAATTCCCTTCCTATTTAGTTTGGAAAGAAGAGCAGAGCAAGGGAAGGAGGTGGTGTTTTTTATGACAGACAGCTGTCTCAGGGCAGAATCACAGAGCTTTCCCCTGGCACTGCATGTGTGTCAGGCATTCCTTTACAGGCAGTGGGTGGTGCTGGCATTCCGTGTTCCCAGGGGGCTTGCTCTCTGTCTAGCTCACCAGCAATCATCAAAGGCCAGCTGAAGTAACAGCATTGAAGAGTTGGTGCTGACAGCATTTGAAAACATCCCTTTCCAAATCCAGAGGAGTTGTGGAAGAGACTTGTGCTCCTCTGTTGAAGCTGGAGCCTGGTGTTTCCCTTCCCACAGCAGGCACAGGCAGCTGGATATGCTCCAGCAGACTGGTGGGAGCAAGGTCTCTGGTAGGAGCTGTCAGTGAGTAACTGAGTTTAGAAGATAATGGGGAAAACATTGCAACCTTAAGCACGATGCCTTGTTACAAGAGGCTATTTTGGACGTTGGTGGAGATGCTGATTTATTCCTGCTGATGTGCTGGCTGTTTTACAAATTGAGCATGATGATATCAGGGATACATGTAGAAATAATTTCAGAAAGCTCTGCATAGACTGCCAGATTGTAAGACAATAGCATCTGGTTTTGACATATTTGCATTATCTGCTGCAGATGCCTAAACATACCTTGGGCATAATTCAGTTCACCTAAAATGTGAAGTCACTGAAGAGAAGCAGATGCAAAAGGTGGTTTAAAGCAGGTCACCTACTGTGTAACCCATTATTTGCAACTTTCCACCCCGTTTCAAACAATTAGTCCCTTTTCTCACTCTCCCTTAGACTGCTGCTGCACACCAGTGACTGCAGCCATCATCAGGGTAACCTCTGGGTGCTGAGGATATCTGTGCTGATGGACAAAGGGCTTTGTGGGGCAGAAAACCCAGCAGGGTTACAGCTGTGGAGGAGGAAGCTCCTCTGGGAACATTGGGGAGGCATCTTCAGAGCAATGGGAAACAAAATCCTGGGTGTAAAGCCCTCCTGTGTTTCACCTGGGTCACCTGTCACAATGACAAGTGTCACATTGCTAAAATACTTCACAGTGCATATGCACTATAAAGGTCCTTTACAGAGGATTGTATTAAAAGATGAGAACAACAAGGCATGGGACAAGAAGATACTTTGTTGGAGGTCACCAGTGGACCATGATTTCCAAAGCCTGAGCTGGGCATCCAGTGCTGCTGCTGAAGAATGCAAAGGTAAATTGTTTGCTTTTGTGTGGTGCTGCATGAAGAGGAATTTTATTCTGATTTCTTTGGCTTTGAAGTCTCTGTGACTTCTACAACACTGAACCTGAGACATGCTTTCTGAGCAGATGGGTCCCGTCCAGTCCCAGTGACCAAAAAGTTACAGCTCTTCTGAAGTCATAAAAAACTTCATTTGAATATAATGTAAGAAGGGAAATGAAATGGTTCTTGTGTCACCTAATGTAATTTTTTATAATATCCAGATCAGGGGTAAGAGCAGTCTGACATTCTGCAGACCTGGCCCTGCAAGTGTCAAGGTTAGAGACACAACTAACTCCTTTTTGGCTTTAGTATTCTCTTTCCCCTGGACATCTGTCTATGAAGAGGAAAGGGAACATGTGTCCAGCTTTTGTCCAGCTCCTTGTTCTCAGACATTGGAAGTGTCACCAGGGAAATGCTGCTGGCTTCCTCTATAGAAACAGTCTACAGTAAAGCAACACAAAACCAGTGCTCCTTTTCAGGATAACTATATGTAGGGTTTGTAAAGCTGTGGTGATGCTACTTGGTTGTGATGGGCATAATGTAGCTAACCCAGCCTTTTCAGGAAACCCCATTTTGCTCTTTGGTGCCATTTCTATTGAAATTCCATGTTTGTGTTGACCAGCAGCAGCTTTCAACTCCATTAATGGGGAACAGGTAAGTTAGTAGTTATGTGTCTATAGAGAAGTTATACATTCTGAGAATAGAAAGGTACACAAAGCCCTTGTGTACTCCAGATCCTGAATGTGCTTGAAATGAATGTGACACTAACATTTCACGCCATCTATCATTGTGAATCTAGGTTTTGTATCTCTTTTGTATTTATTAATGAGACTTATTTGGCAAATACTTTCTACTGTATCTGAGAGGTTATCACTACAGAAGTGTGGGACATTCCTTGCTATTGCCTCTGGCCCAGCAGAAGAGTGACTGAAAAGGGACAGACTGCCCAGGTGTCCTAACCCTCAGTTCTGGGCATGGGAAGGCACTGGTCATGATCCTGCTCAGCCCTTGCCCTCGCTGGTGATGTCTCATCACCACAGACATGGTTTCATGCCTCAACTGCAACCTTGGCCCCACATCCCTACGGAAGCCAGAGGATGGGAGAGCACTGGAAAATGGACTGGAAAACACGTCAGTAGCTGAGACTTGGAGAGGAATGGGGCAATCGGGCACTTCGAGGGCTGCGGAGAAGGGGGTGGCACGGGTGGCTCTTACTGCCGACCTCTACAGCACGGCCTGACGGTACCAGGGAGACCACGGGCGTTTATGAGGAGGTTGGAAAGCCTCACTCCCCGACAGCCCCGCGGGGGCCGCTTCGTGCCCGGAGGCCGCCAGGTGGCGCCGGCCCAGCCCGGTGCTGGGCGGCAGCGGCAGCGTCCGGTCCCGGCTGCGGGTACAGATCCCTGCCGTGCCCAGCTGCAGTCCAGCGTCCCGGGCATCCTCGGCTTGGGTACAGCATCCCTGCCGTGCCCAGCTGCGGTCCCAGTGTTCCTTTCCCGGTTGCGAGTTGCCAGGGCTCAGGCATCGCCGGCTCCACGCCCTGCACCGGCACGGCCGGCCCCGCTCTCCCGCCGCAAAAACCGAGCACAGACCTCATCGCTTCTCTTCCTTGCTCACAGGCACAGGAAAATGGGGCTTTAATTGCCTTAATTTCATCTCGGAGAAGATGATGTATGTTAAACACACACACACACACAAAAGAAAAAAAAAAAAAAAAAAAAAAAAGAGAGAGAGAATGAAAGAACAAGTTTTTACCTGGGCAAACATAAGTTCATGGCAGTTATTATTTGTCTTCCTTCAGTGGATCATGGGCTGAGTCTGAGACTCTCTTACTTAAAGCTGTGGGGTTTTTTAAATGACACAGGGGATCCACAGACCTGGAACATCCCCAGGAATAAAATGGCTCTACACAAGGCAGTACAATACTGCTCAGCTCCTCTTCTGTTCTTTGCTTTACATAGTGGGATGTAGCAGACAAAACTCACTCAATATACCAAATCCCAACAATTATGAATGACCTTAGGGTAGAACCTAAATTAGTTGCTTAAATTTCCAATGCACAGGGGAGGTAAAGGTCAGCCAAGACCTCTCTATCATGGCACCTTTTTGGCGGGAGCAATCCTAGGACATAATATTGGAAGTGTTATGTAATTTGGGTAGTGGGTAAAATCCCTGGTCATATTCAATTAATTGCACTTACAACTGAAAAGCAGGTGTGATGTAGAATGCATGTACTAAGTTACCATACTTATTAGCTTAAATAAAAGAAGTGACTCTACTCTGTGGGTTGAACTTGTTAATGTGTGAACCAAATTTGCTTCCTGCTGGCAGTGATTGCTCCTGCAATAGGGATAAGCTGTCTTTCAATGTCCTTGATCCTCAGTGGGGGTGTGCTGGAATCATTACTGATATAATTCCTGGATGGAAAAAACAATATGAGTCTCAGCACGTTAGCCTGGACAGGTTACCCCTTAGTGGCTCAAGTTGTTTAAACACTTGAACTAACGACAAAATTCCTTTTTCCCACTCAGAATCTCTCTGTACCATCTCTTTACATGCGGTTTAATTGAATAGTGAATATTTATTTGGTCTTGCATGGTGTCAGACCTTGACAATCTTCAGGAGGAATCTCAACTTCTACTTTATGAAGTGCTTGCCCACTGCTGTTGCTGCTTCCCATGTTTTCAGGGGGCGACACCTGCAATTTGAGTTGTCCTCCATGAGTAGGGTGCTCTCCTAATTTGAGCTATCAGTTCCACAAAGTTTAGTACAGCAGTGATTGTAGATGTGGTACTGGTGTTCAACTGCTTGTAATAAACTGTGGAAGGAGCTAACAGTGGGCCTGTTAGCTGAAGGAGCAAGAAGCAAAGAAGTAGCTGATAAGGAGCTGTCTTCAAGGCTGTAACCAAGGAGACCAAGAGAAGTGAGGAACAGAAGAAAGATAAGAAGAAAACTTCGCAGCTAGATGATGTATTTTTAGAAAGTTAGTTAAGTCACTGTAACTTTTCACCAATGGTGTTATGTTGAACTATTGTGGCCAATAGTTAAGGTAGAAGAAGTATAAACTATCGCAAAGTGTATAAAAAGTCGGACATATTTCGTATTAAAGAGTTGCCAAATGAGACTGCTTCTGGTCCCTTTGCTGTGTCGTGACCGCCCCAACAACATCTGGTGACCCCCTGATTTGAGAGACACGCTGAAAAAGAGAGATGTTTTGCAAGGGAACAGAGAGTTCCTCAATTAAAAATGCCAAGGCTTCTGGGAAAGCTGCCAAAACTTCTGGGCGAACTGCCATTGTGTCTTCTTATCAGACTCCTCAACCTCTCTATCTTACACCTGGGCAGCAGCGATGATGCCTGCACCAGTTCGCTGAACTGTCTTTGGGAGAGAGCCCAGCTGTCTGCCCTCCCGTTTCTTTCTACTCTGGCCCAGCCAGTTGCTCCCCGCTCCCCTCTGAACTCTCTGGAAGATCTGTATGGACGATCTGTAAAGTCGTATCCGCTGCCCGACAGTTCAGAGTTTTGAGGATTGTTGATATCGAATGTGTAACATTTGTTATTCTTAATCTTTATAAGTAATACTGATGACTAATGATGGTTGTTGATGTTATATGAATGCCTTAAAAAGGTTGTTTTTACCTCTTCAAACACTTCCTGTTGATAAGTTGATTCTATAATTAGAATTCTCAGATTTTTGTGATAAGAAAGATCATTAAGGTATTGTTGTAGTATTTACAGCCGGCTTTCATGTGTTTCTTTGTTTCTTTGTGTGATCCTCTGTAAGACACGTGTCTCTTGAGATGTGGGAACCCAGGACACCTCTCTGGGTGCCCTGGATGGCCCAAGCCACTGGCAGGAGGCTCTAAGACCCTAGCATGCAGCCAAAGACATGTGAGGTTTTGATCTCAACCCATGGAGCAGATTGCCCCGTGGATTTTTACCCCCCATGTCAAGTAACTGTGCTTCCTCAAAGGCCTCAGCAGTTTTGGGAATTTGTTAAGAAGAAGGCAGCTGAAGAAAAGAATTGAGACTTAATAGACAAATTGAGTACTCCAAAACTATCTTACAAGAAGAGTGTTAATATAAATGTTTCTTGTAATAACCCTATAGCTTTTTCAGTTTTTAAAACTGCTCCTAGAACAAGGCAGGATGACAGCCATCAAGTCTTTGCCTGGAAAGTTGTGCAAGACCTCCAATCCAAAGTGGCTCAGTGTGGTGTGAGAGATGGCACCAGCCCTCTGGGCAGTCAGTGTGTGTCTTTGTCTGACCTACTAGATGAGCTGCAGCAGTTCGAGAGGAACATCTTTTAGACGGCATGCAGCGCTTCTGGTCCCTTTGCTGTGTCGTGACCGCCCCAACAACGACAATAAACCATAAGCCACAACTGTCTGTTCAACTCTTTCATGACCCAGACCCTAAGACTAGCTTGGTTGGTCTGAGCATGGTGCTCATAACACCACACTTGTTGGTTCAACCTGTGTATGGCCCATTCACTTAACAGCTGGACTTGATGATCTTTGTGGGTGCCTTTTAACTCAGAATATTCTGTGATCTGTGACATAATGGCAATGCCAACAGCAAACATTGGCTAAACACTGGCAAGTTCTATGAGACTGGAGTGTGTTAAAATGATCTCTGGCTGCTATTTCAGACAGGAGAGATAGGAGTGTGACTGAGTGACAGAACCTTTTTCTTTTAATCTGTCACACCACATCAATGCCCAAGCACACGGGTGCTCATATTGTGGCTGTTAGGTTTGCAGTATTGCGTACTTCAGCTGCTAGTGGGGCCAAATTGGCCAGAACTTCAGAAATTCTTCTCCCTGCAACAAAAATCCAGCATGGGGACACACTAGCAGTCTTTGGATCAGGGAGTGCAGGTGCCATGTGGAGTCAGCACAGTCTCTGGATTCCTTTTAGGGTTTGGGCTAATGTTCAAACATGAACATTGACTCACTGCCATCAGGCAGACAACAGATTTAAATGCTCAGAACATCAAGACCCAAATATTGTCATTGTGATCTTTGATTGCAAAGCAAGTAGCCAATATCCACTTCTCATCCAGGACCCATAAATTAACCTTAGCAGCTTGGCAGATAATATTTGCTCCATTTACTAAAGTGATTTTAACTCTTAGCATCTGGATCATACACCCAGCTTCTTGGCATCCTGCTTTGTTACTACTTAATGTTGTGCTCCTGTATCTATTAGAAATGTAATTAACATTGACAAGAACCAACTGGAATCTGGATGTATGGGTCATTAGTACATATGTATTTACAGGGTTCCACTTGTTGCATTTCAGTCTCACTTGGCTTGTGCCTCGAATGCTTTTGCAAATCAGCCACCTGAATGGACTCTGCACAATACAGGGTGAATCGGTAGCTTGCTTAAGCATCACCTGTGCCGTTTCTTTCAGTTTTCATCTCTTCTCCTTTTCTTCCTGGAACTGTTTCTGCAATTGTTCAGTACTCAGTAACAGGGGAAAATAAGATTTCCTCTCTCAGGTCTTGTTTCTCTCTTCTATAGTTTTCCCTATTCAAATTATAAAATACTCGTCTTTCCTTACACTCTGCTGAAGCAAGTAGGGTCCTAAGATGATCTTTCTCGATCATAAGTTTATCTACTTGGGTTCTCAGTTTTTCTTCCGTCTCCTTCTCAGAAGCTAGTGGTGACTTTGATGCCTCATTTTCTGTGCAAGTCTTATTTTTGGTGAGCCTCCTTAAATGTTTGCAGCTGCCAGCCCTCATCTCACTGAAGATGGCGAAAGTTTTTTCTAAGACTCCAATAAACAACATTAGCCTGTGGGGCCATAGTAATGAATGGTCTCCCAGGAGTTCCAACTCCCACATCAACATCTTAATCCTGCTTGTGGCAAGGGAGTGCAATTTTCCTTTTCCCCAGGCACTACATTCTCCAGAACAGCAGTGGATAATTTATCACTTCCCGAGAAATTCCTTTCTGCAGGCCTTTTGCTCACACTACGTTCCATCATGCACTGGGACCCTGCTGCTCCCTTTTGGGCAGTCTGCTTTCTTGGTGCAATTCCAATCTCCTGATTGTTGTTCTGTTTTCTAATTGTTAAGTGAAACCCATCCTTCTGCAATAGCTAATTAGCCCTAAGATCTCTTTTCCCACTTAAGGTCTTTCCCCTTGTCTTCCTGTCTGTGGGGTTAACATTTGCTTCAAGTGATCCTGAAATTCTGCTGCAGTGTTTTATCAAGTCCAGCAAAACTCTAACCATAGCAGCCAGATACTTGGATAACTAGTGGTGTAGGTGAGGGCTATCCTGGAACATCTGTCATTCATCAGTTGCAAAAACGCTGCCTTCTGTACACTCTCTGTCCCATTATCTACAGCTGGGGTCTTGATCCTAAGCAAATCACTCCTCTCTAATGGATTCAACCTCCTGCTCAATAGGCGGCACTCTGAGTTAAAGACCAAAATTTTCTCTGGTCACTCACCATTAAAAATACTTCTGCCCTCCAGAAGCCTTGGGCCTCCACCTCAGACAAATTATTCAGTCACCCCCTGCCAGAAGCACTCTCCAAACATATCCAATTTCCAATTACTATGTAAGTCTGCTGTACTTTTCCTAGAACTTTGCTATCTCGGCTGCTGTGTACCACACTGTTTTAGTAACAGTGTAGAGACCCTGTCATAGAAGGTTTAATCTTTAATTTGGGGTTGTAATGTGATTTTCTCATCATCAGAGGTACTGCTGCTTATAGGGACCTTAGAGACATCAAAGCAATTTTCTGTCCTGTCCACAATTTGCGTTGTTAACTTTCTTTGAAAGTTCAGTAACAAAAATATTCCCCACCAAACTCAGCACCAGCCTGTCTGGGGAAAAAAGAGGGTTGAGGAGACCCCAAAACTGGAGGTATCGCAAACCAGGTGGGTGGTGGCTGGACTGGGATTTTATGGGGGATATTTGGGGTCCCTGAGGTTTTGGGGGCTCAGAGGGTACACCAAGGATGGTAGGGATGGGCAGGTTTAAGGGGATTTGGGGTCCCAAGATAGGTTTTGGGTTCTGAGGTTTGGGAGGGCTCTCCAAGGCATGAGGAAGGGGGGGATGGGGTGCCAGGACAGGGTTGGGCGGGTCCGTTCTGGGTCCCGCCCCCCGCGCCCTCAGTGGGCCCTGCCCCTCCCTGCTCAGCAGCGCCCCGAGCGGCAGCAGCGGGAACAGCAGCCTGGGAGCGCCCGGAACCCCGCAGCCCCCCAGGTGTGATTCCCCCAAGCCGCGCCCCATAGAGACCCCGCTGAAGCCCCACGGCCAGAGCTGCGCCCATGGACAGGACACCACCAGAGCCCCGCCCCCCACAGCAGCCCTACCCACGTTCAAGCCACCTCTAAGCAGCGCCCCCAAAGTCCTGAGCTCCGCTCGAATCCCCTAAGCGCCGGCCCCTAGGCAACCCCCCCACACATGGAACCCCTTAGGCCCCAAGACCTTCCTGGCCCCCATCCCACTTGCCCTCACCCAAAATACTCTCAGAGTCCACCTCCCTGTGGGTTCTCCTCCCCTCCAGAGTTCCCCCCTGCAGCGCCTCACCCCCAAATCCCCTCTGTTATGAATAAAAAGCTACCTAATTTTTTAAGGTTGCAGAGTTAAAAGAAGTTGAACCAGTTGCTGTTAAGTTAGCTTCGCGTTGCAGCCACCTATTGAGAGTTCTTCTTCAATCACCTGTTAATGGTTGGTGATTAGCCATTGTCCCCCTGATGCTTGCCAGGGAGTGACACCGGAGCGTGCAGGTACCAGAAGGGTGTGACATAAGAGGTAGTATGCAGATCAGAATGCATTTCACTGAATTTTGTAACTTTCCAGGAAAAACCCCTAAAAACAAAGAGCCAACATAGAATTAAGAGACCTAAGCGATGTCTAAGGACGAGGAACTTAATCCAGTACCTGCTAAGATCCTTTTTACTTCTCACCCTAACCTAAAGATGTTAACTAGAGAGAGGACCCAAAATGTTAAACCGAAAAGGCGGAATCTCCTAATCTGCCGTGAGGACGGAAGCACCAGCTCTGCCTGCAGACCAGCGGACACAGCTGAATCATCCTCCTCCTCCGTGCCACTTCTGGGACCATGGGCGGTTTGGGGGCAACCTGTCAACTTCTCCCCACCTAAGCTGATTCTTGTTAATAATGGCATTAAAAAGGAGAAAGATCTCCTGCCCTATTTATTCCTTTCACCCTCCATCCTCCCCAGCATCAGCACCTAGGGGTCACAAACATTTATTCATTTATTGGGGTACAGCAGAACTGGGAGGGGTAGAGGCCAACTAGGGTAAGGGTCCTGGCTAAGTTTCCCTGGGACTGGCATTCTGGTGAGGGGGGTTCCAGGTGGATCATGGGTAGGGCTCCTCAACAGGGGTGCTGGACCAAGGAAGGGGACCCCCACCCTGGGATGGGTCCCTGAAGGGGTTGTTGGGGATCCTGAGGTGGGGGTCCAGTAGAGGGGAGTCTATGGGATGGGTCCACGTGGGGGGGGTCTCCATTCAGATGCCTCCCGTCTCGGGTCCCCGCAGGCGCCGAGCCAGCTGCAGATCCTTGGGGTACAGGGTCACTCGGCGGGCATGCAGCGAGCACAGGTACGCGTCCTCCAGCAGCCGCACCATGAAGGCCTCTGTTGCCTGTGTCACAAAACATGAGGGAGGGTCCCCAAAGCCCTCTGGTATGCCCCAACCCCCCCCCCCCCCCGGGGGCAGACACCCGGGGGGCAGGGTCCCTCCAAACCCACCCATGGGTGACTGTGGGGACCAAAACACCTTGTGCCTGTAAATGTGGTAGCGGGGGATCAACACCCAGTGACCCATCCTCAATCCCCAACAGACCCCGGGAATAAGGGACCCCTCCTCCTGCCCAGCATCCAGAGACCCTCTCAACATCCATGGAACCCTGTCCCAGAACCCATGGACCCCTCCCCCCCAGCCAATGGAGACCCTCCTAGATTCCCCCTCAGCTCCCATCACACACACCCAACAAACCTCTCAGCCTCATCCAAGCATCCAAAGAGACCTTCCTGGACCTCCCCAGCCCCCCAGAGACACCTACAGCACCCACAGACCCCCCTGCAGCACCCGCAGAACCCCCTCCCCCAACCCCCATGGAAACCTTCTCAGTATCCATGAGATCCCCCCTCAGCCCCCTCCCCAACCCGCTAAGTTCCCTGGATACCTCTGCAGGACACATAGGACCCCTCCGGCCCCTCTGTGACCCCCGTCCACCATGCCTGGACCTCCCGAGCCCTACCTCCTGCAGTGCCACCAGGGCCATGCGCTGCCAGCGGTAATCGACCCCGCGGGTGAAGACTAGGCAGAGTTCCCGCACCTGTGACAGGGAGGGCACGGCGAGGGGGGCACATGGGGGCAGCAGGGTCACAGGGAGTGCGGGCACATTGGGACAACATGGAGGGGATGTGGGGACATTGGGGACATCCCAGGTTGGGGCCACCACCCTGGAGACGTGGGGACACTGCCCTGGGGACATCCCAGGGACATGGGGACACCCTTGTTGTCACCCTGGAGACACTCTGGGGACACCCCAGGAACAGTGGGGCCAGGAACACCTGGGGATACACTGGGGAGTGGGGACGTGGGAACATCATCATGGGGACACCCTGGGATCTCCCAGGTGGGAGGCAGGGGGGGAGCACCACTCTGGGAACATCTTGGTAACACCCTCGGCCATGGGAACATGGGGACACCCTGCAGCAACAGGGGGGACAGTGCCAGCACGGCAGGAGGGGCACAGGGAACACCCAATCCATGCAGCCTCTGAAGGTGGCAGGACACAAGGATGTCTGGAATCACAGAAGGACATTGGGGGATATGCAAGGATGTTGGGGGAGGACAAGCCCACCATGTCACGAGGATGGGGAGGACAAGTACATGGGGAGGGCTGGAACAAGGTTGAGGGGGGGCTCTGGGGGAAAGGGATGGTCCTGAGGAGTCAGAGAGGGTGATCTGGGGTTCTGGGGGGTAACTTGGTGGGCCTGCAGGGGGTTGGAAAATCCCAGTGGGTTTTTGGGATAGGGTCCAAGGGGAGGTTGGAGGCTTCCAGGCTGGATTTCAGGGGTCCCAGAGTGGATTTGGGGTTGGATTTGAAGGGGTCCTAGGGATTGCTTGAAGGGTCCCAGTGGGTAATTGGGAGAGTTGTGTGGGGAGCTGAAGGGTCCCAGGGTGGATTTGAAGGCTCTGGGGGAAGTTGTAGGGTCCAAGAGGGTTGATCTGGGGTGTCCTGGAATGGATTTAGGGATCCCAGGGGAGGGGGTCCAGAGCGGTTTGGAAGATCCCAGACAATGTTGGAGGTTCTGGAGTGAAACTGGGGGGGTCCTGGAGGGGGTTGAGAGTCCATGGGGGGTGGGGAGTGGTTTGGAAGATTCTAGACAATATTGGTGCTGCTCTGCTACCTGTGGATCTCCTGCAATGCCCGCTGACCTGGGCGGTGCCCTGCAGGGCACTGCAGGGGGGTCTGTGGGGGCTTTAGGGGATCTATTCGGCCTTAGGGGGGGCACAAGCAGGGGGCTCTGAAGGAACATGGGGGGTATAGGAGATCTATAGGGCCTGGCAGAACACAGGGGGCTATAGGGGATCTATGAGGGACTATAGGACCCGAGGGGACAGGGGGAAACTGTGGGGGGTATCCTTAGGGATCTGTAAGGCCTGGGGAATCATTGTGGGTATGAACGATCTATAAGGAGCTACAGTGATGGCCGATATAAGGGAGTTATAGGGGACAGGGAGTATGGGGGCTATAGGGGAGAGGGAGTGTGGGGTGACTATAGGTGATGGAAGCATATAGAGGTATAGAGGGCACCGGCTGGGGGCGGAGCACAACAACAGAGGGAGTCCATAGGAGCGCTCTAGAGGAGGCCTAAAAGGGGGCTCGATGTGGAAGGTCCATAGGAGGTGTTTATAAGGGGAGTCCCCCGCCCCTCACTCACTGCGTGCCCGCGGCTGGGGCGATGGGGAGGCGGGGGGACCGCCACGCCGTCGGGGGGTGGGTTTGGGGCGGGGCATGGCGTGGCCGAGTCCACCGCAGGGTCAGGGCAAGCCCAGGAAGGGAGCCGGCGGCCGTGGAAGAGGGAGTCAGGTTGAGAGTCCATGGGGGGTGCTGGAGAAGTTCTGTGGGGGAAATTGGGGTGTCTGGGGATTTTAGGGTGCAGCAGTGTTCATTTTGGGATGTGGGGGGTTCTCACCAGGCGGGCAAAGGGGCCGGGGCGCAGCAGCAGGCAGGTGCTCTTCTGGTACTTGCGGATCTCCTGCAATGCCAGCTGACCTGGACGGCGCCCTGCAGGGGCATTGGATAGGGGGGACCGCCACGCCGTCGGGGGGTGGGTTTGGGGCGGGGCATGGCGTGGCCGAGTCCACCGCAGGGTCAGGGCAAGCCCAGGAAGGGAGCCGGCGGCCGTGGAAGAGGGAGTCAGGGCGGACTCAGGTGTTCGGGAGAGATACCCCCACACCACTGCCGGGTATCCCCAAGCCCCGCTCCTGCCCAGTAACGTCGCGCCCGGGATCCGCCGCCGCCGTTCAAACCTCCCGCCGCGCCGCTCAAATCTCCCGCCGCGCCGCGCTGCGCGTGACGTCACTTCCCTCTGCGCGCCAATCGGAGCGCGGGACCGCTCTGCGCCGCTGGACTCCGCGACGCGGTGGTGCCGCGCCCGCCGAGGGCTCATTAGCATAACTCTGCATGTCCCCGCCCCCAGTCACCCCGCGCCTCGGTGCTCCCCGGGTAGTCTCAGCTATCGTGCCAGTGCCGTCCCAGTACGGGCTCTTTAATCGTCTTAGTGTGATCCCAGTCACTCCCAGTGTGGTTCCCGTTGCTCCTGGTCATTTGCATGGCTCCAGTTACTCCCAGAATGATCCCAGTATGATTCCAGTTCCCTGCAATATGATTCTAGTGCTTTCCAGTCACTCCCAGTGTGAGTCCAGTATGATCAAAACGACTCCCAGTATGATCCCTGTCACACCCCAACCGTCCCAATCAATTCCTGTCCCCACCAGAATCATCCCACTATGATCCCAGTCACTCCCAGTATGATACCAGTTGTCCCCAGCATGGTTCCAGACGCTCCCAGTACGAACCCAGCATGGTTCCAGTTGTCCCCTCCTGTATGATCGTAGTTGCCCCAGTTGTGGTCCCAGTACCCCCAACATGGTTCCAGCATCTTCCATTTGCTCCCAGTGTGTCTTCAGTTGGCTCCCAACATGGTCCCAGTAGCTCCCTGTGCCTCCCACTACCCACTGGGGGTCACTCAAGGATTACAATTGTCCGTGAAATCCATTGGGAGAAGCAGATTGGGGCGTTAGTGAACCCATGGTGGCCCAGGTGGGCTTTGGGGTCTCGTGAGGGCACTGCCTCACATATCTCCCAGTTAACCCCCAGTTCTGCCAGTGGGCCACCACACTCCTTATTTGACCCCATCAAGCCTCCCAGTTGCCCCTAGCTGTCCACCCAGGCCAGATGTTGAACAGGACCAGCCCCAACACTGAGCCCTGGGGAACCCAGCAGTGCCCAGCCCCAGCTGGCTGTGGCCCCATTCCCAGCCCTCCGTGGCCTGGCCACCAGCCAGGTGTTCCCAGCGAGAGGCACCTGTCCCAGCCACGAGCTGCAGGTGCTTCAGGAGAGGCAGGCAGATGGAGGCAGTGCCAAAGGCTTTGCTGAGCTGCAGGCAGACAAACCCACACATGTCCAACACCCACTGAGGCCACCTGAGCACAGCAGATCAGGTGAGTCAGGCAGTACCAGCCTTTCCCAAGGCCTGGGGGTTCCCAGTGCCCTGGTTTTCCTGTCCATGCCATAGGTTCCCCCAGGGAATCTGTTCCAGGGCTGTCCCAGCACCAAAACCTGGAGTTTGCTGGATCCTTCTGGCCCTGGTCTCAGTGGCTCCCAGTCACCTCCAGTAATGATTCCAGTCATTCCCTGTATGATCCTAGTCATTCTCACTATGATAACAGTATGGTCCCAGCATGGTCCCAGTTGCTCCCATTCACCCCCAGTATGATTCCCCTTTCTCCCTGTCATTCACCAGCATGGTTCCAGTTGTTCCCTGTATGATCCTAGTTACCCCAGTTGTGATCCCAGCATGGTCCCAGTAGCTCCAAGTGCCTCCCCATGGCCAGTTGAGGGTTGGAGCTGTCCATAAAATCCATCTGGGGGAAAAGGACACACAGGTGATGTGGGGGGGATATGTGCTGAGCTGCTGCCCGAGTTTCTCTACTCCCCCAGGCAGGGGAGGGGATTTCGCCGGCTGAGCTACAGGCACGGCAGCCGACAGCCGGGCGGGGCACTCCCTAGATGCGCCGGGGCGTCCCGGGAGCACCTCAGCAAGGGGCAGCAGGGAGCAGCAGGCAGGCGAAGTAAAAGAAAGAAGAGAGGTTCCTTTCTCGGGGGTAAAGTCCAGAGCCTTTTATTAACTCCAGGGCACCAGCTGAGCAAGGACCACGAGGCAGGAATACAGCAGCTTATAAAGGGGGTGGGAACCCCACACATTGACCAATGAGGGAGAACTGGGGAGTGAACAAACTCGTGAGAAACATGCCGGCTAGCCCATAGGGAATGTGACAGGGAGGGACCCTTGTTCCCGATCCAATCACCCACCGAAGAAAGGAGAATTTTCTGGAATATGGGAAGGAGACAGAGGGTGATGGACAGAACTTGGGGAGGGATTGACAGAAGGTAACCAGGGAAACAGGGGAGGAGAGAGCGAATTGACACTCAGAGGGAGAGGTTCCAGGGGAGAGGGAGAGGGGGATCCCAGGACTGAACCATTATAGCTTTAGGGGGTAACAGAACACACTAAATGAATCCTGCACCACAACAGATATGGAGGCACTGTCCTGCTGTCACTGAAACTGCAGGAAAAACAAAAACCCTGTAACAACGTTTCTGCTTTAAGAGAGGCATTACTTTACTCTGGCCAGGATGTTGTTCTGGCCAGAATGTGCAACAGAGCTAATTCCATCCCCACATTGCCTGTGTTGTGCAGAGAAAACCATTCCATCATACATGGTTCTTTACTAGATTTTTCACGTACTTACACAGTCAAAACCCAGAAAAAAATCATTGGTTCAACATTCATTGGCCACAAGTTACACAGTTCTTTGTATCTGGTTTCCTATTAGTTATTGATCCCTTTGCCTCCAACGCTAATTAGGTCCTCATTCTTCATTCTCTTATTGCTCTTTTCTCAGACCAAGAGTCTCTGACACACCAGGAAGGATGTTCGGGTGTTGACGGTCACTTGTCTCTTGAGCTACCTCTGGCAACTCCCAGTCTATTGAGATGTCAAGCTCGCTCGTCAGGCCTTGCCCAGGGAACAGAATCTCTTGAAAAGAAACTTCCATTTTCCCTTCCCCCTAGGCAAAAACCCCTGACTAAAGTTAGTTAAAAATTTTAGGAGTTGCATCATTTCTAACACTTCCTCTCCCCATGGACACAGTACCCTCATTGCCACCCTGTGTCCCCACATCCCTCCCTATGTACACATGTCCCCAGGGTCCCTCATGTGTCCCTCATGTCCCACCTGTCCCCCCACATATCCCACAATGTCCTCATGTCTTCTGTGTGTCCCCGATGTTTCCCATGTGTCCCCCATATTCCCACCCTATCCCCCACACCCCAATGTCCGTGCCCTGTGGCAGGAGGTGCCTGGACTCTTCCTGGCCAGCTGGGACATCACTCTAGTGGCTCTGTGTTCTTCTGGGAGAGAAAAAGTAGAGAGGGGAAAGACCCAGAATACAGGGGGGGAAGGAGACCCCAACAGTGTGGCAAACAGGAAGGGGCAAGAACATCCTTCCTCCACTTCATTTTTGAGACCCTGCCAATGGGACAGGGGACACTATACCCCTTCATGGAATGAGTCCCCACCCAGGGATCTGGTCCCCTCTGTATGGAGTTAGGACCTGACCCACCCCCCCCCCCCCCCGAATTAATGGCCTTGAGACACTCACATGTAACTGATTTACCTTCCTGGAACTGAGATTGTGTATCCCACGGGATTGGGATACATAGCCCCTCTTCCCATGGGATTAGGGGACCCATCACTGGACTGGACACCCCCTCCCCATAAGACTGAGACCCCTCTGAAAGTGGGACATCCCCCCATGTGACTGGGCACAGAGCTCCATCATCAGCCCCTGCTCCCCGCTCATCAGGGACCCCCAGGGCCTCTCTGGAGCTGACTGTGGCACTAAGCAAGGTAGTCACCAAGCCCACCTGTGTGGGCAGGGGGGCATAGGGAGGCCAAGGCCCTATTTAGGGCAGCTTTAGGCTGGGGGCCCAAAGAGGGACCCCAGCTCTGGGAATCTGCTGACAGAGGAATGGAGAAGAATGCATTGGCAATGTCTACGGTGGCGCCATTTTGCTGCCTTGGACTCCAGCTCTTACTGAAGTTCCAACATGTCCAGCAGGCAGCACTCAGTCATGGTGTGACTTCATTCAGGCCATGACACTGTCCACAGGAGAGTGGACACAGTCAGTATCCACTCTCCACGGGACTCAGGCAGGGGCCATATGGAGCTATTGAGGAGTGAGCAAGTCTTGCTGAGCACGCCCAGCTCTCCAGTTCATGGATCAGCTCATGGACAGGGTCCTGAAGTCCCAGTCAGTGCCATGTTGTCAATGGGACCCTGTGTACTGGCCATCAGTACCTGCTGTTCTTCAACTACCTCAGCAGTCCCACAGCAGAAGGGTCCTCTGAAAGACCAAGCAAGGGATTCATCTGTCTTAATTTCTTCTGTCTCCACAGCATCTCTCCCAAAGCCCAATGGTGTCCTTTTGGGTCCTTGAAATACCTCTCCTGAGGTGATCTGGGCCAAGGATACATGGAGCCTCTAGGCCAGTGACAATGGCATTTTTCTGCCACTCATGCCTAGTCAGGAGCACTTCAGCTTCCAGTATAGTCCCTGCTGGGATCCCCTGTCATCCCAGAAACAGAGATGGATTCTGCCCCTGCATGACGGCATCAGGGTATATTGTGTACCCGTATCAACTAAAGCCTTGTGCGCCTGTGGCTCTGCTGTGCCAGGCCATGGATTCACACAGTCCAACAGACCCCACTGTCCTTTTCTCACACGTGGCTAGAGCCAGGGCCCCTCTAGCTCTGATCATGGTACTCCTTGCTTGCTTCTTGTAAAGATGACCTAGAGGTCCCTTCCAGAGGGTCAGAAGTAACATCAGCCGTCCAATTCTGCCTGAGGCCTTGGCCAGTGGAAACTGAGTGGCATTTTTCCTTGAAGAGTTTTCTGTGGTGGTTAATTTTTCCTCTCAACTCACATACCTGTGCTGCCAAGGCAGAGGTGGGTTTTCCATCCCACTTCTGTATGTTTTCACCATGGTCAGCCAAGTAAAACCACAGGTTACCTAGTGGTGTGCCCCTCTCTCTTGAGCAGCGGGTACTTGCCCCCGATAGACTGCAGTCTGTGCTAGTGGGGCATAGGGCACTTCTTTCAGCTGCTGGAGGTCTTTTCCACAGACAAGATGCAGGCCCACAGGGTGAAAAAGATATTTTCTTCATATTGCCAGAGTTTGGTAACCAAA